TGCTTGTCTTAAGAATCCTGGAGGACTGCAAAACTGACCAGATGAGCTCTGGGAAATGCACTGGTGTGGACACCTGCACCAGTGCCACATGCTACCCCTCTGGATGCCTTCAGGAGCCATCGGACTTTGCACCAGAAGGAGCACAAAAGCACTTGATTTGCACTGACTCCCTTTGGGTGCTCTGGCAGCAACACAGCATGTAACATCACTGCAATCCCCCTCCTAAACAGATGTACTCACACCTCTGGAGCATGAAGAACTTGGCCTGAGGTGTGCAGAGTACGGAGGCAAACAGAAGCTGCAACGTCAGTTTTAATTTCTGCACTTGGACTGAATTATTTACAAAGAGGTGAGATCACAGCAAGCTGACATTTTCACAGCAATTCCTTCTTGAAATCTGCATAAACAGAAACTTCTGAAACTTCAATTAAGGCTGCAACTAAGCCAGACAAGAGTAGATAAGCGTTGCTGGGAGTATGCTGGGAGGATTTACCAGTGAGGGCTTAAGCTGATCAAGCCATGTGAGGGAACACATACACACTGCAGGGAGATAGAGGACAACACTTTTAAGAGAAAACCAAGAAGTTGCTAATAATTGTATTAAGAAACATGATCCACCAAACATTCTGTCTTGCTTCCGTGTTCCACTGGGTTATGCTCACATACAAGCTCTGCAGGGAAAGGGCAGGTTTTCTACAGGATTATTAGAGGAGAGAGCACACAGGTGTTACAGGAAAGAAGGGCTCGGAATTGGAAACAGACATCAAAGGGCATAGAGCTGGCGTAAAGAGTAAAGAGACTTGAGAGGGGTCAGTGAAAGATAGCTTTGGCTGGAGAGGGGGTAGAGTGAAGACCAAAAGATATGTTGCAATAGTCAGCTCATGAGTAAGATCATGAATCACAGTTATAGTGGGGACAACAGGGACAGATTTTAAGGATGTTGCCCAAGAGAATCTCAGTTGAGACAGATAAAACACTGAATGGGAAGCTGAGACTTGGGGAAAAGGGACAATGAAGACTTCATTGAGCCAACAAAAGTAGGAAGCAGTGAGAAGCCTGGATGAGGAAAGAAACTCTTTCTTTGAAATAGAAACATTCAAATAGTATTCAGTTTGAAGAACTTGAAATACAGGGATCAATACATTGAAATGCATGAAGCAATTAAATTAAAAGTGCATCTATTTCCTCGGATAATAGAAAAAAACTTCAAAATAGGAGGCAACTGTTATTCCTTCAGTCACATTGTGGCAAGTATCATGTGCAGGAAGGAAGGAAGGAAGGAAGAAGCAATCAACCGCAGTAACAGAATAACAACATTTCTATTCAGTTCAAGATACCAAGCAGTGACTTGTTTTCTAAAAATGTGTAATTTATTATATTAAGTAAGTCTAACTGATTTTTAGCAGTTCTCAGAGACAAAAACCAAACCCCACAAATAAATCTTCTGAAACCTGCAGAATATGGTAATGTAGTGTCCAGCACAAAGGAAACATATAGAAAAGGAATCTTACACTGGAGGAAGAAATAATTCACATGAGAAGGTTAGGCAAATTTGGGGAAGAAAAGCCACAGCTGAGTTTTAAGAGTAATTGCTTATTCCCCGTGAACTGTTTTCAAGTCACTCATTTCCCCTCTGGTTCCTCCAGAAGAGCAATGAGAGGAATGCCAAGCATTCTGGCTTAGGAAGCGTTAATGAGTTTAAAGCACCATGATCTTACATGCAACTGTTCTGAAGGCTTTTTGACACAGGAAGAAATGTATGGACACCCAGAATGTTTGATCTTGACACTCTGACAAATAATGAATTATTTTAATAAGGGAAAAGTAATGAGCAAAGTAACTTTCAAATACAGATAGAAGTTATCTGAGTGACTGAGTCTATACCTTACATTGATGGGATGGCATAGTAAATATCTCTAACGAAAATTATTAAGTAACAACTTTTAATTGCTTCTTTTGTTGGGAAATATAATCTCCTATTAGGTTTAAAAAAAAAAAAAAAAAGGAATGCCTAAATAGTTTTGCAGAACACTAGACTTGTGTAAACCTGTAACTTGCATCCTGGTTCCATCCAAAACCTGTCATATTAAAATGAGGCAGGTGAACCTCATATGATTTATCTAAATGTTTTCATTTACCACTTTTAGTCTTAGAGCTTTGTTCTAATCCAGGAAAGAGAAGTGCTTCTGAAAAAAAAACAACCTCCAAATTCAGCCTGCCCTAAAACCAACAGACAAGCAAAGCAGCACAGACATTTCTGTACCCAAACTGCTCTACTGGGGCAGAGCTTCGTAAGGAAAGCTCAGGGTTGGATACATCTCACAGATCTCCTCCATCCAACAGTTTTCTTGGGTTTTTTTAAGGAGGTTTTTAAGGAGGGTTTTTTTTAAGGCTCTTTTAACGATAATTTGCATACAGTCTATATTAAATAATTCAGAAGTAACCGTCCCCTGTTCCTTATCACATGGGACTTTTGGCTTTGACATATTTTGACCAGGCACAAATGGGCAGGATTCAGTGTGCACAAAATTATATATAAAAAGACATAAATTACACTTGGATAGTTTTCTAGACTTCTGCTAGTGGCCTCTGTTCATAAAACTTGTTGCCTTGTGATGGTCCAGCCTCTTTTACTCATTTAAGAAATAAGAGTAATTCAGTGGTATTAAATTAATTTTCACTTAGCAAATGTTAGCTCTGTAAAACTTCAATAATCACTCAAGGAGAAACAGAACTGTGTATCTGCTGTTTCAGCTGATAAAGGGCTGGCTACAGTATTAGGTGCCTGCAGTGCCTGTTCAAACAAATACCCAAATGGGAAGGCTCTGTAGCTGTATCCACCTTCTTGGGAAAGTCTTTCGTGATGACTCAGCATAACCAAGGCCCCATTGTCTGCTAAAACCTTTGTCATCAAATCAGGAAGAGAAACCACAGCAAACATTTGAGCGCAGGGTCAGCCGACTTCCTGTGTTTTACCTGTAGCTGGAGGAGGTGACGAAAGCACTGAGAGTTTTTCCTGGTGTAGTCTCTCTCCCAGGCTTCTGAATGAGTCTGTGCTGACTGGATCTGCTCATCTGCTCCCACAGAATTTGTTTCCAACTGGCTACTGGAAAGACAGAAAATCAACAACTGCACAAATCTGACTGCTTGTTTCACAACTGTCGAGTTGTTAGGCAATAGTAATAAGGTGATTGATTGCATATTAATAGAATACAACACTAATTAAATCTTATTCCAGCTAAAAGCCTAGTAAGTAATCTAATTTGTAATTTCTAAAAGCTTGCACATTTAAATAGCTAATGGATATTTATGATGTTTAGTATGTTATTAAGATTCAAACTGTGATACAAATTTACACAATCCAGTCGGTAACCTAGACTTTAAAAGCTCTTTCAGGAAAAAAAGGAATCATTAGAGTCTCCTGTGTAAATATTTTAAGTGCGGAATATATTCTACTCCTTCACTATAGATGCTTTCTGCAATATCAGCCATTTTTATCAACAAACAGTATCCTAATTCTTCGGAAGAAACACTTCCAATGCAGGGATTAAGAAAGCTCTCTTCCATGTCTGGGTAACACAACCCTCCCTGCTGACCATGCTGTAGATGGAGGTTGCTACACATTTGGTGTGGGATGAGAAGCCCACAGCTCATTTTAAATTCCATTAAATATCTTGTGCTTTTACTGCCTCTGGGACGTGTTTGTGCATGAGTCAGGACAAGATGAGCTCAACAGCTAGCATAAAGCTCAGACAGCCTGGCAAGCCTCTCACTGGCAACAGTGGTGAATCCATCAAAATGTGTATATTACCGAGGCAAAAGCCTGCATCCATACCAAGATCTTACTTTGGGGAATTGTACTGCAGCGCTTGTACCATGTCTCCTCAGTAACCAGCAATACAAGCATGCTTTCAAACAGACCTCCTAAACCCAATCTCAAAGTTCAGTATGGAAATTCACACAAAATGTCCTCAGTCTCCACAGTTTTCCTTGCCCACACAAGAGGGGAAACAGGTTGGAAGGAAGGAGCCAAACTGAATGAAAAACTTGTCTTCTCAGATAATATCTTTAATGGAAATAGTCCCTGATCCTTGTTATCAGCTGATCTCTGCTACACACAGAGAAAATACGTAGGTATTAAAATTGGGAATTTATCTACTAAATCAACCGATTCTTTTGGCACTGGGTGTTGGCCTGGCTTGGAGTAGACCTTGGAGGAGCATTAGTGATTGAGAAGTTGGACTGTGACCAGAACCAGCTTGAAATAGTCTTAAAAAGGTTATAAAATAAATGTGAGGGCTTTTGTTAGCTTTGTTTTCTGGGGTGAATGTTGCCTTTTGCTAGTTGGTATGAGCCCTGCTTTTGGGGGGTTTTGAGCCTCTCTGTTACTGTTGTTCCTGCACTGAGTGCTCTGGTGTCCAGGGGCCATGTGCTTAAATTTATGAGACATTTGTGGAATTTAGTGTGGTGCTCACTGCAGAAAGGGGCCAAGCCCTCAGGACAGTGCTCTCCTTTGCCTTCTGGGCCTCAATCAACTTCCCATTGGAAACATGTGAAGCAAGTCATGTTTCATCTTCAGCACTCTACCATTGACTACTCAGGTCAGTGATAAAGTGAGTTTTCTTTTAGGTTTGTTTTTTGGGATTTTTTCCTTGAACAAAGTGCAAATGTGAAGGCAAACACGCACTTCCCATGATTTTGGAAAGCCAGCAGTGTTTTTGTGCAGCAGTGGTCCCCCCGTGCTTGCCCTCACGCAGGTGGGCACAGACTTGTTTGAAAGTCTTGGTGCCTCAGGCTTGCCTACCTTCATCCTGGATCTTTGTGAAGCTGCGGGGGCGCAGAGGGACCCAAGGCCAGTGGGATGTGAGGTGAGTGAGGAGTCTGAGGGTTCTTTTCTTCCATTTTAGGCAACAAGGGGTCTGAGGGGAGGGTGTGAGGGGAGTGAGAAGGCAGGATTGTGAGGAGGTGTGAGGGGAGTGAGGGGTCTGAGGACTGTGAGGACTAAGATGGATGTGAGGGGGCTGAGGACTGTGAAGGGGAGTGAGGACTGAGTGTGAGGGGACTAAGGACTGTGTGAGGACTGAGATGGGTGTGAGGGGGCTAAGGACTGTGTGAGGACTGAGATGGGTGTGAGGGGGCTAAGGACTGTGTGAGGACTGAGATGGGTGTGAGGGGGCTAAGGACTGTGTGAGGACTGAGATGGGTGTGAGGGGGCTAAGGACTGTGTGAGGACTGAGATGGGTGTGAGGGGGCTAAGGACTGTGTGAGGACTGAGATGGGTGTGAGGGGGCTAAGGACTGTGTGAGGACTGAGATGGGTGTGAGGGGGCTAAGGACTGTGTGAGGACTGAGATGGGTGTGAGGGGGCTAAGGACTGTGTGAGGACTGAGATGGGTGTGAGGGGGCTAAGGACTGTGTGAGGACTGAGATGGGTGTGAGGGGGCTAAGGACTGTGTGAGGACTGAGATGGGTGTGAGGGGGCTAAGGACTGTGTGAGGACTGAGCAGGGCGCGAGGAGAGCGGGGCCGTTCCCGCCCCGCCAATGGCGCGCTGCCGCGGCGGGAGGTGTGTGCTGACCTCACTTCCGGGATCTGTCACCGGCCGCTCCCCCAGTGTTCCCGATCCCGCCCCGCCGGCAACCGGGGACGCGGCTGTGCCCGCCCGGCCCCGCGCAGCGCAGTCCGCGGGCCGGCAGCGATGCACGGTACTGCCCTGGGGGCACCCCCCGCCCTGCCGTGCCCGAGTCCCGCGGGGCTCCGGGGAGGAGGCGGGAGCGCCCGCCCGGGGCTGGTGACGGTCCCGCCTCGCTAACGCAGCGGCGACTTTGCTAATGACCTGTCCTCTCTTCTCCTCCCCTCCCTCGCTATTCGCTGCTCCTTATCTCCCTCGCCCCGCGGTGCGAAGCCCTAGGCGGAGGTAGCCGGCTCGGGGAGATGCTGTAGCGGCTCCCGCTGCGCGCTCGCTCGGCGCCGGCCGCCAGCGGTGGGGACCGGGCCCAGGGGCTGCGGGACGGGCAGAGCCGGCCCAGCGCTGGAGGGCGGAGGTAAAGAGCCAGCCTGGGAACCCCGGGGGAGCGGGGAACGGGAGGAGGGGTGATGCCCCGTCACACAAGGTGCTGCTTGGCAACTGTCATGTGTCCTAAATGGGGCAATCTGGGTTGTCCTTAACCTGGAATGAACTCGGCATTGGGCACAAAGTACGAGCCTGGAGGTTCCCGCTGTTGGCTTGGCTGGGCCGGGCGGGTTGTGCTGTTCCCGGTCGGCTGCTCGGAGGGAAGCCCCTCTGTCTTGGGAGCGAGGAGTGGGGCACGGGCAGCGCCTCCGGGGCTCTGTGGTTTGGTGAGTTCTTTGTTGGCCCTCCGGGGCTGGCCACTTGCTTTTCAGAAAGCATTCCAGAAGTACTAATGGAAAAGAGTGCGAAAACGCACTCTATTTATATGAAGATTGGCACAGTCTCGGTGACACGGGTAGCTGTTCCTAAACTGTCTGAGGGAAGTAGTATGAGTACAGGATTTGTCAGACAGGATTATCTGGAATGATAATGTCTGGCACTTTGGTGGCATTGGATGTTTTAGTAGTACTGCACTAATCGAGGCGTCACACAAGTTTTGTTGCGAAGGAAAGCGGTTGTCAAACTACACTTGTGTTACAGAATATGCACAGATTTTCTCATTGGCATCTCGCACTGATCACTTTTAGATATTTGCTTTGCAGGCAGCAAAACCAATCAGCTATAAAACCTGTTTTGTTTATGAATTCTGAATCCCTGACTGAGCACTGAGGATACCTGGTCTCATGTTGGAACTGAGGGCAGTTGTGGTTCATGTGATGGGGTCACACGTCTGCTCAAAGCTAAACCAGTGTCATAACCTTTGTTAGTTGGCATGAGCTGCCAAGTGGCCATCGGCTCCTAGTTAATTTAGTGACCGGTTTGGGGATTTTGATTAACCTGATGTGGTGTTTTGGAAGGATGAGGGTGTGTAGACCTTACCAAAGGTTTGTGGAACTGTGCAGACAGCATGCACCCTCGCTTTTGCCAAGTTTGGAAGGAACTCTTCGTATAGTCCAAAAAAAAAATTCTTATCAATCTTTTGCTACTTTATATTGACTGTCATCCTCTGCAGTCAGGTGTACAGAGAGTTTTGGCTACCTACTGCAAACCTGCACATCCTAAACACCCGGTGGTTTTGTCACTTGCTTTTCAGTGGTTTTTGAGGTCTTAATTTTCTATTAATCCTATAGTCTTCAAAAAGGCTATCATAAGTTTTTAACCATGGAGAGAGGGTTACATTTCAGTTGTGATTTTGTCCAGTTATGCTTTTAATATTTCATGTGTGGAGTGTTCTAAAACTACTAAAGACAATTATGTCCTACAGGAGAGTAGATATATGACCTAAGGTATTTATCTTGTTCTAGAATATGGATTATAGTGCTCACTGTTGTCCCAAGGTGGACAAGGAGGGCAATGGAATTTTTCTTAGTATTTTTTATTTTAGAACAGCTTGTACTTTAAAATTGCAAACAGCACTATTTTTTCTTTAGTTTGTTGTAGTTCTCCTGCTGAGATTCGAGTTCTGTTTCTCTTGCAAATTTTTGCAAGGGGAAAAAAAGAGAACACCATACTTGTCTTGGAAAATAAATTAATTCATATTTATTATATGTTAAAGCATACTTTCTTAAAGAATTTTGGAATTTTAACTTTTTTTTTCCTTTAATCTGACTACTTTTTCACAATCTCCCCAAATCTTTTAACTTTTTGAATTTTAGAGGTATGTATAGTTTCTGTTGTTTTTAATGGGTCTTGTAATGTATATAAAAGCAAAGTCTGTACCTTTGGGGTGTAAATGGTACTTAAAAGGCCAATTGCAAAGGCATCTTATGCACCTTGGAAACCATAAGTTTGTCCATTGAAAGACTTGGACATTTGTGGGAATGCTCCTTATGAGTAAAAGTATTTTGCTTTATAATAGATAATTAAAGTAGCACAGAGCTTTCACTATAGTGTTCTTAGTTGAGTGGTTTTGAATTTTTCCAGTATGAACTAAAAAGATCAGAATGATATTGGGATATACAAGTCATATTCCATAGTTAGTTAGATGTCAGTGTGGTCCTGCTGTAAAACCAGTGACATATTAAAAGCCTCAGTCATTTAAAATATAATTTTAGCCCAAGTGAAATGACAGCATTTTTTTCCTGAAGAAGCATTAAGGAATATTTTTTAAAAGCTTTAAATTACATCATATCAGTATAAAATCAGAATAGTAAGCTTTGGGAAATTTTGTTGACTCTTTATTTTTATTTTTTTAAGAAAGGATGTCATCAGCTTTTTATTGATGAAGAACCACTTGTTATCACCAATGTGCACATGAAATGGAAAGGGAACAGATTCCAGAGAACAACTTCTGTTACCACCTTGCAAGATGCTGCCTGAAGTGGTGAGTACATATGTGGGCTGGGGGCTATCCTGGCATTGCTCTTGAACAACTAGGGAAGAACAAACATTTGGGGTAGAATCTCTGTCAAGAGTGATTAACACATAGTCAACTGACAAGGAGAGAAATCTGAGCAAGTAGTGCCAATAAATAATTGATAAACAGAAAGTAGTAGCACAATCAGGTGAAAGTAAAACTTCCTTATGTTCTGGTATCTACTACTGTCTTAGGCAATAGTCAGTAGAATTCTGAATTCTTAATATTTTAGAAGTAGAGTGATCAGGATTTCACTGTCAAATATTAAACAACTTGTTAAGAAGTAGAATGCTGATTTTTTCACTGAATTAAAAAGTACTTATCTGGTTGGGTTAGGCTCTAAATCATCAAAATAAAACTAAAGTCTCTCAAAGAGTGTGATATTTGGCATGTAATAAAAACATTGAATTGTTATGAGAAGATTGTTGTGTGGCCGGATTGCATGTGGCATTGAGATGTTGCCAAGTCTGACTCCACTTCCTCATACCAGTTCTCATAGTTTCTGCTTATGAAACAGTATTTATTTATAAGTGCACTGCATGTGTCTTTAAATATCTAGGAAGTGTAATTTCTGTGTCCAGTGAAGGGCTTCTTGTGCACAGATTAATACAAATTATAAAATACAACTCATTGGCATTCCAGTCCTGACTGAGGCTTGAGTTGTTACATGAGTAGTTGTGTGGGTCTTTGCTGTGTCTTAAAAGGGTTGAAATTTTTTTTGCTTTGGAAAGGCAAATTACCAAAGAGGCAGAGTTTGTTCTCTAGTATGATATTCCTCTAAATTTATTGGTTTAAGTTCAATTTGTCTCATGCCTGTGGAAACACTAAGAGTAGAGTGGCAAGCATTTGGCAAATTACGCATTCCTTTCTAGAAATGCTGATGTACTATTGTGGCTTTTAAAAAATATATAAACTGAGAAATTACTCACTTAATCTTTCCAAATAGTAAAAGAAACTTGTTCAAAAATGTGTCTGCGTTGAGGAACTCAGAGGAGTGAGCAGCTACTGAAGTTGTTTCCAGGCAGATGATATATATGTGAAAGCGAGTTCATAAAATATTTTCATATTTCGTAATTTGGTATCTCATTAGTTTGTTTTCAGTTTGTTGATAAGTACATAGAAGGAAACCAGAGATGCTGTTTGGTGTGCAAATTAAGTGCAGGTTGAGTAACACCTTACTCATCTGTGAGTGTATAATATCCTAGAGCTGAGAGAATGTATCATTATGGATAGTTTAGAGTTTGATGTATTTTACATTAAAAAATAGTACCATAATAACTTAGTGTTATTTACATTTAACAAAAAAAAGGTATAATAAAAATTGATTATTTGAAACTATTCCACAGCCTGTGATTAAGGTTTGGAGGCAGGATTACTGTTTTGTTTATATATCCATGCGTCCAGCACTGTTACACTAAATACTGTTATCTGTATATAGGCTTGTATAGCCATTCTTTTCCTTTTTTTGTTACACAAATAAGTGCTACATGCCTGTTCTGTCGTAAATAATTATTTACTGGAAATGATTGATATAACAAATCACAGGACAAACCACTGAATGTGAATGTTCAGAAGGTAAGAAGAACTTTTGTCTATTTGCAACACCTATTTGAAAGTGAAAACTTGAATTAGTGATGATATCTCCTAACCTGCTGTTAGGGTTACTGCTTCAGCAAGAATGGTATAAAGTACCTGACACTGGAGCCGTGGGGCAGAGTCCCATTAAACAAAACACCCTCCCCCACATCTTTATTCAACACGTGTGAGGGGGAGGACATGTATGAGGGAGAAGGTGGGTGTTGTGTCAAGAGACTTCTTTGGAGACTCCTGTGTTCATTAGCAGGCAGTGCCTAGTGGCTTTCTGTCCAAGGGCTGGGGAATGCTCCAGCACGGCTGTCCATTTATGCACTTACTCTGGTGTTAAAATTAATTGCAGCCCACAGACCATAGTGACTATTGTTGGCTCGTTAGCGATTTTCAGGGGAAGATTACAAGATATATCTATATAGTGAAATTTATTCTTACCCCCTTCAGGATAAAAGACTGCTGTGTGCAATTAAGCAGGCCAGTCTGATCAAATTGGGTAGCAAGCTTTGATACCTGTGTAAGTAAGAGACAAGCAGCACAGGATACTACCTTTGAAAAAAAGCAGTAGCTGTACCTGTTGTGTTCTATGCTGCCACACGGACATAACTGCACATAAACATGTCCGTGTTTTCAAACCGCTGTCAAACGTTCAACTTAAATGTATGTTTTGGGCACCTGATTTTCAGCATATTGAGCTACCATAATTCCAGGTGAACTTACAAGGAGTTGTGTTTTCTCAGGATTATAAATCCTGTAATAAATCCTGTGGAGACGTACAAGTGATTAGCCTTTAAGAATACAAATTGTTCGATTTGCAGCTTTCATTCAATTTCTCTTTTACATGGCAAGGGGGGGTGGTGTATGAATGAACACTTAAATGCAAAAAGGACAGAAAATAGGATGTCTTCTTTCTCTGTTGTGCCTGATAGCCCTGCAGATATAGGCTACAGCAAGAAATGTGGTTACAGAGCATGATGGATCAGATCTAGGCCGCTTCTTTCCTTCTGCCATCCGTGTGTTTCTGTCCATTCTTTTTGCAGCCCCTCAGTGGGTCTGTTCAGCCATCTCTGGTTGTTTATAGTTTTTCTGTGTTACACTTAGTAAACGGAATTGTTTCACCAATGCTGTGTCTGCACTGGGGAATAAGCCATGCCGGGGACTGTTCTCGAGAGCTGGAGCACCCCGATGGCTGGGACGCAGCCGTGCTCCTCCCCGGACAGAGCGGCTGCCCCCGCCTCCAAGGCCTAGCGCTGTGCTCCTGGCCTGGCGTTTTCCTGGCAGTGAGCCAGGCTGGTATGTCCAGGGTGGTGTCCCGGAGGACGCTGACACACGGCTTGGCCCTGCTCTGGGCTCCCTTACTATTGCAGGGTTGGCCAAGGGCGGGAGCCAGCACAGGCACCCGGGGGGCGGCGTGACTGGGAAGGAGGGAGTGAGAGGGAAGGTGCGGGGACTAGTGGAAGAGATATCCTTGTGATTTGAGGGAGCTATTATGTTACTTCAGCTGGTCGAAGTACCTTTATTTTGCAACCAACGGCTCAGTTTGGCTCTGCAGAGAAATGCATGCTGTGTCCCTATAACTGGTCTTTCAAAGTCTGGTTCAAGCCAGCTAAAATGCCTTACAAAGTGAAGTAAAACTGGAATATGAAAGTACATATATTGCTTTTTAAACAGGTTTTGTTATCCTGGCTGTTTCCCTGGACTCATGTTTTAGTTCCACCTTTCTGCCATTCAGATGCTTTCTCAGTTAAAGGCGTTGGGGTGGCAATGCTGGTATTGCTGTTAAATTGGTAACCAGACACCCTTTGTGTCGTGTGAAGCATGAGCCAGGAAAATAATGGCAGGAAAATAATTGCTTATATTTTAACACTTTTGGATCTCGCAGGAGCGTGAGGCTCGTGATCTCCATACTGTAGAGAGTGACCTGATATAGAGCTGTGAAGTCATGTGTCCCAAGAATATCCTCTATCTGTCGTGTCAGGAGCTTGCAAGTACAAGTACTTGATGTCCATTTGCCAAAAAATGTAGATTAATTGCATTCATGCTAGTTGCCAAGGCTCTTGTCAGTAATGCTAATTCAATGTAAACTTTGTTTTTGTGTGATACATTTATCACAAAGAAAAACTTTTTAAGGTAGGGATGTCTGGTTTATCAGACTAAAACTGAAGGCCTTTGTCATAACAAAAAAATCCCAAACAAAAAGCAAACAAAACAAAAGGTGAAAGAATTTTGTTTCTCATTCCACTTTGGGTCCTCTGAGTTGTGGCATGACATTAAATTGAAGTTAGATTATTTTTAGCAGGTTTTATTTGTGTATTTATTTAAGTGTAATAACTGAGTAACAAGAGCCTGTAAAAATAGTTTGAAGGAGTGAGTGAAATAGTAGCCTAATGAAGAATAAATAAACTACACAACTCCAGGTGCTGTTTGTAGAAGACATTAGATTTTTTTGTGCTAGTAGAAGAGTATGAAAGCTAGTCCATTGGAATTACTCTTGCAAAAAGACACTGGCAAGCAGAAGGGGCCTAAATCTGTAATACCTTGTCTGAGGGTCATTCTTTTTCATAGGATATAAATTCTTCTGTTAAGCTGAATTTAGTTTATCACATCAGTCATGTTATTATGTCTGGGCAAGGGAATAGAGTTTATCAGTGAAATAAAACCACTGAAAATACACAGTGGTGGTGTTCTCTGCTAAGAAGGCGAATTCAGGCTCCTTGAATCTCTTCCAAAAACAGATGTAAATTGCTCTGTTGCTTTTCAAATAGTGAATAATCCCGGTCTGTTATGGTGGGTGATGAATCATGCAGGGGGCTGCAGATGGTGAGGTGGGTGCAGCTGTGCAGACGCTGGAGGAGCTGGGGTGGGAGACTGCAGGGCCCGAGGGGGCGAAGGAGGTGATTTGGGGATGGGCTGATATGGCTGATGAAACAGTATTGGAAAGGAGTGTGCCAGGGCAAAGCCCAAACTGTAACCTGAGGTTTGGGATCGGGAGACAGAAAGGGGGGCACTCTTGAGGTAGAAAGATATTTTTTGTTGTTATTGGTCTTTGAAATGAAAGTTGCAACATGAAACACCAAAGTAACTGGACTTTGTTCTGAGCCAAAATAAGGAGGAGCCCGAGATTAAATGTAGAAATTTAAGCTGTAAAAAAAATAGAAAAAACTGAGAGACTTCATGTTCCTTTTAAAGGAATGCTGGTCATAAGTAGGAGAGCTGTTGCAGGAACAGGTACAGATGCAAATCTGTGTGCTTTTGTATTTCAGTTTTTCTAAGCATGACCTGTGTAATGAGATCAGGGTCGCAAAGTTTGGGAGTTTGTCAGGTGGAGAAGTTATATCTGAATAGGTAGACTAATGGGGAGTTGCAGGGCCTAAGTTATC